TTTTTTTTTTTCAATAAACAAAGGAACATTTTTTTTTTTTCTATTTTTGCTGTATTTTATTTTTAATTTTTCAATTACCTACTTTCAGAAGAAATCTTGTGTTTTTGGAATTCTTATTCTTCCATATCCTTTATGTATCCTTTATGGATTTTCTTTATTACATGGGCAATTATGTCCATTACCCTATGTTTGATAATAGTGTTATGTATTTATTGAAACAAATGAGATCATATTTTGATTATCGAACAAGTATGAGTTGTTTGATCGTATCAATAATTATAACCAATTTAATTGCATATATGAAAACTTATATTTGAATAGTGGTCGGTATGAAAATCATTTTTATGAGTTCTTCTTTTGGTTGGATATTTTATTTCTTTAATTTACTCAAAAAAACTTCCATTGTATCTTTAGTTAGATTGCATTGATTGCTTTACTTAGATAAAAGTCGTTAATATCCCCCATATTTTTATTTTTATTTTATTTTTTCAAAAGTGACCATATCATACAATACTGCTTGCCACCCCTATAATTTTATATTTTAGACAAGTGGAATTTATTACTGTTAGTTTCGAGAATTATACTTTTTATTCAAATATACATACTTTAACATATGATATAAATAAAAATATGTAGTTCACATTATACATGCAATTTTATATAAAATCATGATTGATTAATGTTAAGAAAATATTTTTTTTGCATCTGAAATGTGTGGTGAACGGTCACCATAACGAAGGAATATACCCACCTCTACCGGCACCCGAATTTAATTGCATATTAATTTTTTCCTAGAAGTGAACAAATATAGTAAGTCTATTAAAAGTATTTAGAATCAACTCTTTTAGAGCAATCAAGCCTAAAGACAGCAAATACCAACCAAACATAATAATAAAATTCTTATAATAATATTAAGAATCAACTTTCTTTGCAGAAATCAAGCCATTTAAAGACTTCATAAACCCTTATATAATACTACCTCCTATTTTTTTTTAAATGTCACTTTGGCTTTATCAACAATTAACCAAATGAATGACGTTTTGGATCTTTTGTACATATTTTTTCGTTATTGTCCTCATCTAGCTAATAAATGCACTACGCCTTTTCATATTCACTTTTCATCTCTTCTCAAAACATCCATCTCTATCTTCATTGACGAGGGTTATTATTGTCAAAAAAAAAAAAATTTAATTGTTGTATAACTTCTCAAAACGACACTTATTAAAAATAGGAGGGAGTAACACTTATTATAAAAATGAAACCCATGTTCGAATTTTTAACAAATTCACCAACCATTGTAGCTTCTTCTCCCTCCACCATGTGTTTGTTTAATTGCCCCAAAAGACTTCATTTTGACTTGTAGTTGGCACTTGGCTCCATACAATGGTTGACTTAAGTCTATAATGCAAGTGATGAGTGTACCAAAGTAGTAACAAAGAGAAGTGGAAAGGGACAGAAAAAACCATAACCAGTGTCTCAAAGTTTGAACTTTGAATATGTTCTCTTCATTTTTATCTAATTCAAAAGAAATTTGATTAATTGTCTCCCACCATCTTTTTGTCCCAAGCCACTTCCTATTCTTCATTTGCTTCAATATCAACCACTGGTTTGTTTTTTGGGCATGACATCCTTTCTGTGGAGACAATTTGCCTTGACAGAAAAAACGCAAAACACATTGACATGTTATACAAAAAAAGGAATAGACCAGTAAAAAAACTAACAAAACAAACTTCAACTTTGTCATATATATATATATATATATATATATATATATAAAAGATTGAATTCAACTACAACTATATATAGTGAATATTAATACAATATATGGATACCTATATACAGGGCGGACCAACACAGGGTCCGGAGGGGCACATACTCCTACCTATTAAGTATAATTATGATTAATTATGATAATTAATACTTGGCTTGTCCATAATATACATGCTACGGTATGAAAGATTAAGATTATCCAGAATTTATTACTCTTTATCGTCTTAGATCATGTTTGTGAAAAATTAAAAAATTTGAAATTGATTTCAAACTAAAAGTATGAAATTAAATTAATGGCATATATTATTATATTTTAATAGCTCAATGTTATTGTTGGATTCAATATTTAACTAGCATGATACCCGTTTGCTACACATGTATTTGAGAAGATAATTAATTGTACAATAAAAATAAAAGATTTTTATATATATACATTTTGTTGAAGTTGAAAAAAAAAAGGAACAATATATAACAATTTATGATAAAGAACTAAGTGAATTAACAATATTATTTTAAATTATGAAAATTAAATTTATATACATCATTAGTTTTATTTATAATATTATTATTTAAAATACATAAGAAAATAACATGAACAAAGTAAATAATTCAGAAAGTGAGATAATATGCACATTATAGAAATAAGTTAATAATAGATTTGTATGTAATAGTTTAAATATGTTAAATATGTGCATTTATTGCAATCCGAACTAAAATTATTTGGTATAAAAAAATTAGTAATTTTTATCCAAGCCATATTATGAATCGTAATATTTTGCCACATAAGATTACGAAGCGTGCTAAGCTGCCACATAGATTCAAAGCATTCTGAAACTATATATAAGAGGGATTACTTAGTATAAAAAAAATTGTAATTTTTATTCAAGCCATACTACGAATCGTAACATTTTGTCACATAAGATTACGAATCGTGCGAACCTGTCACTTAGGTTCAAAACATTCTGAAATTATATGTAATTAAGAGGGATACTGAACTCTTTTATTTGACTTAAACTTTTATTTTATTGTATAAAAATATTACAATATATGTAATATTTTTATAAAACAAAAATTTTCATGCTCAAATAGCCTACGCAATCCACAACATAATTTACGTTACACAATATAAGGAGCAAAACGGATGTGTATATCTTCATCATATTTACAGACCGTATCTGCTATACTCATTATTTTTTAATCTTGGTTCACATTGCGTTATGAACCCAATTTCACAATGTATGCAGTGCCCTTCAACTTGTCTGAAAATTTGACAAAAAGAAAAATGTATATTAATACACTTGCATCTCATCAGTTTATTAAAACTTCACAGAACTTTCCCTGTCGATATTTTCACCCTCAAATCCACCAAATTTTCCTCAATATTAAAAAAAGTCAGGACAAAAAACTGGGGCAACTTGCAGCATTCAAAAAGTTCAGAAAATGCACTTTGTAATAACTTGTACTAGTGAAACCAAATCTCACTCTTCTTTAATATACACACATTAGCCCCCTCCTTTTTCTATAATTGGGATTCTCCAAGTGAACCAACCACCTTGTGGGAGATTATAAATGCACTCAACTTACTCCTCAGTGACATGAAAAGCAACAAAACAAAACAAAACAACACAAATCATTGAGCTTCAATTGCCTCCTTCAATCCACATTTCTTGTCAATCACTGCAAAAAATTTTTCTGAGTAATGGAAAGTGAAGAAGGTCTATCAGCCCCCTCAACACCAGTAACCCCAGGCACCCCTAGGGCTCCTCTCTTTGGAGCAGCATTCAGACCTCATGAAAAGAACAAAAATGGCAGAAAATTGTCCCTTCTCAAGAGCTGCAGATGCTTTTCCGGCCTCGAAGCCGCCAGCTGGAACCTCGAAGAGGGGGTCTTGGCCCCCGTCAGCTGCGCTTTGCCTCCACCCCCTGTCTCCCTCGCGAGGAAGGTACGCCATTTTTCGCTTACTACATTCTTGAATTTTTTGTTGCGCACTAATTTACGTACTATATATCTTGCTGGCACAATCTGCTGAGAACAACAATAACTAACTCTGAGTCGGTTAAGAATTTAAGATTGTAACAATAACTAACTCTGAGAATTCATGTGGACTTTCATTAATTAGATTAGATGTAACAATTTTTTTTTTTTTTTTTCAAAAAAAATAAAAAATATCAGGTTGGAGCTGAACTAATAGGCACCCTGATACTGGTGTTTGCTGGGACAGCCACAGCTATTGTGAACCAGAAGACAAACGGGTCGGAGACCCTAATTGGGCTGGCAGCATCGACGGGCCTGGCCGTGATGATAGTCATATTCTCCACGGGCCACATATCTGGGGCCCACCTCAATCCAGCTGTCACCATTGCATTTGCTGCTCTCAAGCATTTCCCATGGAAGCATGTACTTGCTCCATTGTTTATATTTTGAATTATTATTTTTTTTTTTAAAAAAAAAAAACTCAATTGTAGTAATATTTATGTATGGAATTCAAATTTTGAACCTCTTTTATTTTTTTTTATAGGTTCCTGTGTACATAGGTGCACAAGTGATGGCATCAATATGTGCTTCATTTATGCTCAAGGCTATTTTCCATCCTGTAATGGGTGGGGGAGTGACTGTGCCTCAAGGTGGATATGCTCAGGCTTTTGCTCTTGAGTTTATAATAACTTTCAACCTCATGTTTGTTGTAACTGCAGTTGCCACTGATACTAAAGCTGTAAGTACATACCTTTTCTGCTCTGATTTTTTTATTTTATTATAATATATTCAAAACCTTTAATTACAAAAGGTTCAAGATTTAGTAAAAATGTAAGATACTTTTATACTAACATGTGTGTTTAAAGTGCAGTTTCTTACCTGTTTGACTAAATCTAACTAGCAAAGTAGACCATAAATATTGTTGAATTTCTTTTGCAAAGTAAAAGAAGTTACATGACAATAATTTCCTTAATCAAAGATATTTTTGGGGTAGAAGTTTGCACCTAATTAAAGTACCAACTTCAAGGGACATTAATTGCAAGGTACAAAAATTTCTCAAGACAAGATATGTCAGTAACAATGGTCAAATGCCACCTGGTTCTTCTGACAATAATAATATTTATTACCCAATTGGGATCAACATAATAATAAAAGTGTTGTTTCTTTTGATTGGCCATTCTGAGTTTTGTTATAAAAACAAGGAAAATGGAGATCTCAGATCCCATGCACTTCAATACACATAAATTAATGAAAAACTTGACTTCGTACAATGCATAGTCCATTTTTTCCACTATTTTAATGTGGACTAAAACTTTAAGGTTTTTGTTGTATTAATGTATTTTTTGGGAGTGGTCACAAAACCAGGTGGGGGAGCTTGCGGGAATTGCGGTTGGAGCCACAGTCATGCTCAATATACTGATAGCCGGGTATGTAATTTAACAAATTTGTCCAGTATTTTTTGCAATTTTAGAGAATACTCTTTAGCTAATAAAAATAGAGCAAAACATGTCAAAAAAGGTAAATACTACCCCTAACTAATTGCAAACAATACAAAAATACTCACTAATTCACATGTTTGGATAAAGTGTTGGGGATTAGGAATTTTCGCAAAAAAACTTATAGAGCAAATTGTCATTTGATACTGAGCATATTTGGCAATTATGCATTTATTAAATACACAGCAAGTGTGTATTAAATACATTTAATTAGTAAAAACATTTACTTTTCCAATGAAATAAAAATATATAAACTTTTCCAATGGAGTGTGATATTTATTTGAAACAATAAAAACAAAATTTAAATATACTTTTAAACCATGATCTTTCAAATAAAAATATCACTGTAACTTGTTAAAAAAAAAGTAAAATTGTCCTAATTTTGACCAGTAAGCAGATTGATAGCAGTTTCTGCATGGAAAGATGTGTGTTTGTGTGTGTGTGTGTGTGTGTGTGTGTGAAGAGAGAGAGAGGATGGGAGGGAGCATATAATGTCCAATAATTGAGTGAAGGAAATGAGAATAGTTGGCTTATTGAGAAAGCGAAACAAACAACTTTCAGCTACTCTTGGAATCAAATGCAACAAAAGCTACTTTATCATAAACATGATCATTAATAGCTAACATGTATGCTTAACATACCTTTCATCTTTTACAAGCAATAAAGAGACTTACTGCAAACAAATGGAAAGACAGGTCGTTCAGTTTCCTTAAGTTAGAAGCTTCTTAGAGAGCCATTAAGAAAAGGGTAACAATTTAAAGATTGGGAACTTGTGGTGCACAACCCGGAACAAAATAGTTGAAAAGAGTAACCCATTAACTAAATTATCTACTAAAACTGAATGGCTCACTGATTTTAAAATTTGGTTGTCCATACAATACATTAATGAGCTTTATCAAAAAAAAAAATAAAATTAATTATTAAATACCAGCTTGGGCTCTATGATTTGTTTTTAAAAAATTAGTTCCGTTAAGTGCAGTTTATAACATAGAAATATACCCATCTAGCTGGGAAGATATACAGAAAATTTTCAATAAATAGAAAAACTAATTATGAACAAGCACAATTCTCAATAATTCTGCAATGCAGGCCTACAACAGGGGCATCAATGAATCCAGTAAGAACACTGGGCCCAGCAATTGCGGCTAACAACTATAAGGCCATTTGGGTGTACCTCACAGCACCCATTCTAGGTGCTCTTGCTGGTGCAGGTGTTTACTCAGCTGTGAAATTGCCTGATGATGACGACAAAGGGCACGAGAAGCCCTTACCAGAACATAGCTTCAGAAGGTGATTCCATTTACAAGTAAGCAATGTGAGCTCAGATCCTTCTTTGAGGCGGGAAAAGCTCGACAAGATTTGCATCCTGCAATAAGAATGTACGAACAAATGATAGCTTTTAATTTACCTGCCAATGTAAAGAACAACTTTGGCCAAGAATTCTCATTCTATGTGCATTAACCATATTTCCATTCCTCTCTGAGTTTCTTCCTTGTTGAAATTTTCAACTGTAGACTAAGCACGAGAACAATATAGGCCTAAATTCAATTCAAAGTGGCGTAAAATCAATTCAAAGTGATATTAAAACTGGAAATACTCCAACACGAATAATCAAGATCTGCGTATCCAAGCACCGCAATAACATTAGCAACATTCATCTGATACATGATTTTGATTTCGCTTGCTAATTCATCTTGCTGAGCAATTCATTTATATGATCCACACGATCCCCCGAATCCCCTCCATCTTCAAACCGTTTCTTCTTACTGTGCAAGGCTTTTTCAGGATTGTTCAGCATAAAGGGGCATAAAAAATTTGTCACCAACTTAAAATGTTTGTGGCAACCTCTTTTACAATGTCTTCTATGCATATTATGTCATGCTGGACTAGTTTCTGCCAAGTAGCACATAAAAAAAAATGTGTGGGAATTTCTAGAAAACAGTTGAAATGGGGAACATGCAAAGCACAATAATCAAGGTAGACAAGGATAAACCTGCTCAACAATGTTATTGTCAGTTAAAGGAACCCTCTCCTTCCCATCTTTGATAACACCTTTCTTGTAAATCAAGTCCTTCACACTCTTGAAATTGGGATAGCTACAAGCACAGAAAAATTATGGTAAAGACAACGAATGATGATAAACAAATCTGATATTGCAGTAAAGGAGAAATGGTGGTATACCAAATCATGAGAAATGATTAAGTGGAAATGGTAGCATTTCAAACATCTCAAAATGTTCTCTGTTCTCAAAATAGAGAACAGAGAACAACTGCAAGGCAGCAAGGCAACTGGAACACTCAAAACTTGAGTACTGGAAATATACCAAAATAATGCACAGGACAGATAAGAGGTATAAGGCTATAAGCTAAACAATACAAGCTGATGATAGTACACAAAACTCTTATTGACGGTCGAAGTTTTTTGCCAATACATATCAAGCCAGATTAAGCATGTTTGGATATGAAAATTTTTGATTTTGTTAGAATTTTTAGTTTGGTATGGTTAATTTTCAAAAAAGTAGTATGGTTAGTTGTTAGTGGGTATATTAAAATAATATTTAAAATAAAATAATTAAAATTGATTGATATAAAAGTAGGAGAGAAATGATTTGAAGTGATGGTTAATTAAAATAATATGAGTGGATGAATAGTGAATTAAGGTTGACGTGGTGTGTACGAATGATTGATTGGTATTATTTAATTATATTGATAATATTGATGATAGTGGGGTTGAGTTAAAGTTGAGTTAAAAAAAAATGGTTGAGTTAAAATGTTGAATTTTTTTTTGAAATTTCTTGTATACAAACATGCTTTCCAATAAAATAAGACAAAAAAGACAAGTTTATTTAGCCTACAAGTGATAAGGTTATCAACTTTCGCAACTCTTTTGACATTAATTCCTAAACATTATGCTTAAAAAATGGCAAGTCTAAATAGAATTTTATGCACACAACTGCAAGTCTGCAATACTCCTAAGCATAAACAGAGTCATAGTTCAGGTGAAATTTCATTGAGCCCTAAACAGGACAAGATTCTACAGTTGTACTATACCAGCAACAGGAACCAAAGGTGATGAAATATTATGACATAAGATTTCCATTATTTCCTCGTTTGCCTTCACAAATACCCCACTAAATACTTTCCTCAATCTCAAAGAGTACAGAATCTTTTGTGTTCTTGGATGCATATCATTTTTGCTGCAAATAAAGACAAACTTTACCTCACAAGATCATCAAATCGCAATATTCTGCAGCAGAATAATATGTGAAATTTCAGCTGACCCCCAATGCGTATGACAAATAGAAGCTTAGATTGTGCCATGGCCGATGCCCATCTTTTTCGAATGACCCTACTCTTCATCTGCACGAAGTCTCCAATTCCTGAATGCGAAAGCACATCAACACTCACTCAATACCACCAAATTCGAGAAAACCCACCAAACAAATCTTTACATGGAAACCTAACCGAAAATGTAAGCCCAGTAAAATTAATAGTATTAAGTTCGTCAAAGGCTTCAGAATCTTACGCTAGGAACACATAACAGACGATAACTAGTACAATCTCTTACCTTGTCTCGATACTCGCGAATAAATTGCTCGGGCTTCATCATGAAAGAGCTGTCGGGTCTACGGCGTTTGGCCCGTTCCTGTAACTGCAGCTTTTTCTTGATTGCCCATTCCTCGTTGTTTTTCCTTTTCTTCACCACCACCAGCGGCCATGGTTTGCGATTGGACTTCGTTGGTAGCAAATTGGGGAGTAAGATGGTTTTGGAGGGTTTTGCTTTCAAACTTCCTAGTAGGTTTACAATTCCCTTCTGTCACTTATTTGGGCCTCAATAAAATAAGTTCAGCCCAATGCTGGTATCAGTTAATTGGGCTGGAGTATCTTTTCTCAACCCAAGTAGTAGGGCAATACTATGGCTATGTTTAGTAGCTAAATAAACTAACTTATAGATTATTTTGTTAGCTTATAATATTCTTGTATTCAAATAAGCCTCATTTGGTAGGTATGACGAGCTTTTTTAAAAAGCTCGAGCTTATCTATAAACTTATTCAGGTAGTTTTTCAAATAAGTTAGTTGAAATGTTTATTTCAGCTAGCTTATCAGTTAATTTTACCAAACGTTTTTATCATATAAGCTAGCTTTTCAGCTATAAGTCATAAACTGTAAGATATAAACTCAAAAATTATATATAAGCTATAAGGTAGCTTTACCAAACATAGCCTATGTGCTCTCTCGTTCCAATGAGTATTTTCACATATTACCGAGTACACACATCCTGTTATGTTTGTTTTTGGGAAAATTATCGTTTTGGTACCCCAACTATATTTAAAAAAGAATTGGGTTTTCCAATGTGTAACATTGGAAGATAGGTTCCTGATTTACTCAGGTTGGTTAAAACCACTTACATAAATCGACCCCTTTTGCTTTTTAAGACCGTGATAGTAAAAGAAAAATCGGGTACCTATAGCTTTATACCTCGTCTTATATGGAAACCAATGCATGCCCATAACAATGAAATATCTTCAGTCTATTCCAATTATTGGTGAATTTTGAACAATATGGAGCCAATGAACTTGGCCATAGCTTTTGCAACTTCACCTGAATTAACTACCACTAATGCTACAACCTTAATTTGTCCCATTATGAATAGAAACATCAGATAAATCAAAAGGGGCACCATTGAAAACAATAATAAAGTTGTGAGTGTACCTTTGAGTGGAGGAAAAACCTAAGAGAAATAAAGGAGTCTTATATTTGTGGGGTGGGAAAATAGATCAATCATGAAAAATGCCCACATCCCTCACTTCAGTGTTCCAGTGAACACAACTAATTACACAAAGATATGCAGACAAATAAATCTTGAACTACATCATTTCCTACTTACTTTTTAAGAAAGCAAATAATGTTGTGCCTTTGTCTTGTCCTTTTGTGTTTTCCTTTATATATATATATTTTGTTTTTACAAAATAAAACATATTATTGATGGGCTCCTGCACTTATTCNAAACTTCTTTATTGACAAATATTGTGGAGAGAACATCAACTTAGGGTGTTCTAAGGAGTATTTCTTTTAATCTGTATTTCTCCTTTTCAATTATAATCTTATGTTGTCAGTAAATAATGCTTATCCAAAACGCAAAAGCCACTTTACATTGTTAAGCATGGGAAAGTGCAGTGTAAAAAGATAAATTTAGATGGCGTACGTATCATCATAAGATAGCATAGCAGCATTTTAAGGACCCTTCAAACATCACCATCCCAATCTAGTTGTCGGCCACTTTTCCGTATTCCTAATTAAAGAAAAAGCATACTCTTAATGTGTTATATATTACTTTGCTTACATTAAAGCCTAAACAACTAGCTAAATTTTACTAAACTGCAAAAATAAGAAGCACCTCATGATTGAATTATTGAAATTGATCTTATAAATTTAGCTCTTGTAACACCTAGCTAGCCCGTAGTCCATACTTGAGAGTTGAGGGTAGTATTTTGCTATATAAATTTTATTAGAATATCATTTGTGAGTTTTTGACATTGATTCTACAAGATAAATGAGTTTAGTTTATAAATCTAGTGGACTAATTCTCCCATCACTAATTAGTTTTGGAATAGGTTCACCACCCTTTTATACTGTGCTTCACTTCTATAGGACCGCACAATTTTCGTCCAAATCTATAACTCTAATAAATTTCAATGTTTTGAGAAATCTCTAAAACAATCCACAAGGGAATGGAAACTTATGTGCATGATCTCTGATACCATGTTAAACGGGGGTAAAACGAGTGTGGTCCCACACACGTGAAGCGCACCATAAGCAGGAAAAGCCCAGATAAAACAAAAGTGAGGTTCCATCTCAAAACCAATTGGTGATATGAAAAGTAGCCTATTAGACTTATAAGGTGGGTCTATTTTCCATGTATAAACGATGTGGGACAACTCACGAGTGATATTCTAACAACAATTAAGGTGGTAAATGAGATGTTTCGAATCGAGTTGATATCAAGTTCGAGCTTCGGCATGAGCATTTATTGTACTAAGTCAAGCTTTGGTATGTTAACAAATTGAGCCGACAAATAAGCTCGAGTTCAGCTTGTGTATCTAAAATAACGAGCCTAGTTAAGATAATTTCAACAAATTGCATAAAAATTTGTATTTCTCAACCCTATTGAGCATTAAAGAGTGGAAATCTGTTCATAAAGTAATCAAACTCAACCTCGGCTCGAATATAAATGAATTGACCCTAACTAAATCAAAAAGCGAATCGATTTGTTAATAACTCTACTCACAATGCTCGAAAAGAAAGCACACTTAACTATGAGACTAAAGTGTTTGAAAAAATGTATTTTATAGATACTACTTCTACTAAATACGTCTTTGAAGCTTTTCCAAATTTATTTCATGTCATGACTTGGACTGGGTATTAGGGCGTGATTGGTATTGAGTACAAACCAGTAAATATCGATTTTAATTGAACCATGAGGTAAAGTGATTTAATTTTAAATAAAAATAATTTGGTGATTTTTAAGTGTGTATTTAAATAATATCAAAATGCAATAATTAAAGTTGTTGTGATGTAAAAGTAGGAGATAAATAATTGAAAATAATAAGTAGAACATGTGAATAGTGAATTAAAGTTGACGTGATATAAAAAATAAATGATTGATATTTTTTAATTATTTCGATAATATTGAGGATATATGAGTTTGAGTTAAATTGAGTTAGACTTTAAATTAAAAAAAAAAAAAAAAAAAAAAAAAAAATTGATCGATCATCAATACCGGTTTTAATAGCATACCAATCGCTACCTTAGTAGTCCAACTTTAACGGATATACCCAGGTGAGTTTCCTTGTTAATTTGAAGTTGAAAAAAATAAAAAAGATTGGAATAAATTAGTAGGTAACTAATCTATAGGCTGCCGACACAAGAGTTCGACAAGCATTATGATTGATAAAATTAACTTCAAGTTGAAAACAAATTAGTGCATAAGATAAGGGTGTGTTTGTTTATAATTTTTTTCTGTTTATACTAAAAATTTAACTCAATGTTAATCTAACATTATTATGCTCAATATTATCAATATAAATAAATAATATCAATAAATTATTGTCACACATCACATCATTTTAATTTACTATTCATTTATTCACATAATTTTAACTAACAATCGCTCAACATAATCTATCTCCTACTTTTATATCAAATTAACTTTAATTATTATTTTGAGTATGTGGAACCTGATTGTTATAGGTTCGATCATTGTACCTTATATTTACTTATAAAATTGGACTTCTCTCCCTATTAATCACTTTGTAACTAATTAAAATATTAATAATTTGAACTTTTGTATGTAACTTTTAATATTCTCTAATACCAACTTGTATATGTAACTTTTATATTTCGGAGAATACTCGAGTCTAAATTCCATAAAATCTCTCCATGTAACCAAACAAATACAACTAACTAGCTAATCCATATATAATATATTTGAAATTAATTATGTATTGCTATGTGCCCTCTATTCTTTTATTCTTTATTCTAAATAAGCTAGACCACAATGATAGCATTGCATAGAACATCCCTAATCTCATCAACACCTGCCTATTTCACTCATCATTCCAAAATAATCAAATGCAAATAGGAAAATAATATACAAGTTTATGATGAGACATGCATACGTACATATAGCTAGCTTGTAGCATATATATTCATGAGCCATCCCGATTATGTTTTTCTTAAAAGACCAATTGTGAATTGTGATGCAAGTATGACAAAATATTCGAAGTATTATATTATGGCTTTGATATAATTATATTCTTTTTGTAGCTTCCTAGACTTCAATTCCATAAATCATTAGGTATTTGACAACTTCAATATATATTGTACTATGAATTCATGGCCCCATCTTTAATTTTTCATCCTCTTTAGGATGGAAAATTGCCTAACAATTTCAAATCATAAGTTCAACTCCACCATGGACCATAAAGCATGTTACTGGATGGACAAGGTTCATTCTACCAAACACATTGAATATTAAGTATTCACGTCATGAATTATAGCCTTTTTTTTTTTTTTTTTTTTTTTTCNTTTCTTGTTTTTGTTCTAGCTAATTACATCTCTTTCAACAAAAATTAATGTGTACTACTATTTACTATTTGTATATGTTAGATGCATGAATGGTTTTCATTTCTTCTTTGTTACTTATAAAATATAGTAGATTGACTGGATATCATATGGCTATTTGCTAGTAGTAAAAGAATAAATAACATATCAAACAAAATTTGATAAGTGATTGACAAGTGGTCTAGTGAAGAGCAGGTGGAGGCATTTAGTTAGGAACATTAAAATTTAAGAGACCAAACTTATCCATATGATACGATTGTAAGAATTCACAAATGCTCAAAAACCAATATAATGGTGCCAACAATCAAAGATTCCTTTAAAATGGCACAACTGTATTGTATAATTGAGATGTGGTAGGATTGACTATAAATATTTTCAAAATTACTTTTTAGGGAAAGATATAAAAAATTGAAATTATAAATGGATATAAAATAAAAATATAATGACTAAACTTTATGTGATAATATTAATAACATACTATTAATTAATAATAATTTATGGTCACAATTTCCTTATTAGTGAATTTTATTTTTATTAAAAATATGTAATGATAATTAGTTTTTATTTTTGAAATGTGCTAACAAGATTAAAGTAAAAAAATGAAATCAAGTAATTATTGTAATTTTTTGAAAGAAAATCCTTTTTTATCTATCTCACAATCTCATATTTTTTTTTTATTTTTTTTCGGTACAAATCTCACAATCTCATTAACAAACTGTGCCGTCACACAAAACATGAAAGTTTTTACATCTAATAAGGGTGTTGTTAGGCCGACATGGTTACACGATTATATATATATATATATTTTTAATATAAATACATACTTTCAAATTGAAATATCACACATTATAATAATATAAAAAGATATAAAATATCGACCAGCTTAACAACTAAATCGATCACACAAGAATTTGTGTTTTAATCCAATCAAGAGGCCAACAAAAATCTACAACATACACATAGGAATCAAATCACACCTACCAGATAAAACTTTGCAATCAATTCTAATCTTATGGTTTTCATAAGAATAATATTACTCGAATGTTTGATTTTTTTCTCTGTTTGATGTTACACCTTCCACCATGGACCTATAATAAAGTCAAATTAAAATTGTCCAATAGCACAATCTGGTTCGTATTATGGGTGCTAGTTCTTACTTTCAATCAAATCTAGTTTACTTTTTATGCTAGTGTACCTTTTATAGGACAGAGAGGGTTTTTGTTTTATTCTTTGCACGGTCTATATAATTAATTTGGGCACGGGCAAAGAGCTATTGAACTCTTCTATCTTAGAATTTGCAATTTGCTGATGATGGGACAATAATTTACCACTTCCATTCCACAAATGGGAAAAGACACATGACGCAGAATGTTATAAGGTGACAGAGTAGGTAAAAGCAGATAAAGACCTTCGGATGATCACGAAAATTCCTTGTCAATATGTAGGTAAAATCTATTAGAACTAATCACTCTATAACATGTTTTAAATCACAGTGTATGCTTTTATTATGAAATGCAGTAGTTATATGTATATAGTTGCAAAATCTTGAAGTAGACTACATGTTTATGTTATTTTATTTCTAGCTTTGTCACCATGTTGCTGCTAAAGTTTATTTTCATATATTTGCGTTGTGGTTATTATTAGAAGAGCTCCTCATCCATGCCATGTCATTTCTGACGTGGAAAAAACCGATGAAGATTTATGTATCGAGCGTAAAATTTGTATAAACCCGCGCTAAACGCATTGGTCACCACCAGAATTTATGTTTGGAAACGTGCATTTTTTGTTAATTTATTACATTAAAAACATTTGAAAAACATTGAAGAACTGCTCCCGTCTTCAAGCAATTGCTTCATTGCGGTTCAGTTTTAGTGTTCATCGCGGCGCGATGACCTTCGAGCGTGAAGACGGTCCTGGTGTCGGGGCGTGAAGCTCTAGATTCTTGAGTCTCTGCTGGCTCGTACCAGCTCTCGCGGCGTGAGGAGGATGTGATGTCGTGGTGCGATACTCATCCCGGCGAAGCCCCGGAAATCATCAGCCTCTTTTGGCTCGCGACTCACCTCGCAGCGTGAGGCCTGTGCACCGTCTCGAGCTGGTTGTTTGGGCTGACATTGCACGAAGCCTGATAGCAACTGCTCGGTCCTGTCTCGTGGGCCTGTTGCGCGGGCCTAGCTGCGGTCGGGCTTGACGTGATTAGGCTTTTCCTTTTGCGCCTGACTCTGTTGGGCCAGTTACGCATGCCTCTTTGATACGAACACGTCGTGCTCAGTTGTATCCGTTCTTGAGGAGTCGACCTTCGTTTGCATCATTCCCGTCCCCTTCAAGCAAATCCTTGTCCTCAAGGATAAGACTTGGAAATTAATAGACGCAAATGTCTGGCAAGTTCTCCCAAGTTGTCTCCTCTTTCGGTAAGTCCTTCCACTCGATTAGAGCTTCCCAAAGGAAACACCCCGCTTTTTTTACTCTCTGATAGTCCCCTTGTTGGTCCTCCAAATTTTGTCTCCTCTGATGCTGTACATCCACACAAGCTCTGGTGTATTGAGTTGCATAATCCCTTAATGACTCATTCTTCTTCTGTTGCATTCCAATTAAGGTCAAGTAAGTCTTCTCACGTGCCTTCACACTAGCATACTGGTTAATAAAACATGAGTTGAATATCTCAAAATTCTGGATAACTCCCGGTGGTAGCTGATGTGACTAATCCTATGCAGGTCCTCGCAACATAGCCAAGAAACCCTACACCGGATTGGATCGTTGTACCTATGCAATACTGCCATGTTCTCAAAACTTCTGAGGTGTCTTAACATGTCAGTGGACCCATCATACATTAAGTTGAGCTCTCTGAAACCCTGGAGCACACCGACATCGATCTTCTGTGAGAAAGGATGACCTCTAGTGCTTCTCTCTCTCTTCCCTTCAACCTCCGCATGTAGGTCATGAATTTGAGTTGATAATCTCTCCAATGTGTCTTCCTTCATCTGCTGCAGGTGAGTAGTGGTCTTGATCGAGTACTCCTCATAATGTCCCTTCTTGCTCGTGTTATGTTGTTTGATTGAGTGCGTGTGTTGTGTCCGCTTGACTCTAGACGCCACCGCCTCCGCAATCATTTTCTGTAGCTCGTCTTGAGTGAGGTTGATCACCTTGTCTTCAGCTCGAGGTCGTTGCACCCGATGTCAGGTTTTCCCTTCACGCCTCTGCAACCCCTTCATCTGCTTCCCCAAACATCAAGTTGCCTCCCTACACTCTTATCCCTCTCCGATGGGGGTCAGTTGTGTAAACTGACTAGTTTATTCCTGGGTTGAAACCTGAATCTTCACCCCTAATAGAGTGACCTGGACCACATCTTCTTAACACGAACCTGGCGGCGCGTGATTGCTCAACAGTGTCGATCACACTATCGCATATCTATCTAAGTCCCTTTAAATTCCTCTGATAGGTTCATCTCCACTGCTTCTCTGTCAGCAATCTCAAGTAATAGGAATCTGGTTTGAGTGCTCTTACTTCTTTCCAAATCTTCCCACAGACTGCACCAAATGATGTACTGGTGACCTAGATATTAGGTGAACCGGCTGCTGTAGAGGTCCGATCATTTGTAAACATCACGTAGTTCAATATTGGTATCATTTTCATCAATAAAAGGGTTGTCCTTCAGGTACTTCACAATCCCTAAGTGGTTTGGTAAAAATGTATCTTCTACTGTCATTTCTTAAAATCAATCTCGTTGAGCAGTCGACACATGAAAAGAAGTTACAGGACGAGTATGAAGAACAACATTGTTGATCGGTTATTGAGCATTCAATCCATCTCCAGCTAAAGCCATCAGTTTAGTTGGTACATATACTTGTCTTGCGATCGTACAAAATGTGTCGATTAGACAAGAAATCGATAAACTAAAGTATCCAATTCTTTGACAAGNTTTAAGGAAAAAAAAAAAAAAACAACTACAACATAAATGGCTTTAGGTAGCATGAAAGAAATGATACGTAAAAACTATAAAATGTTACTATAGACAATAGGTAATACAATATTGGCGCTACAGTTGTTTGTGCTACCTAAAGGTCAAAGGTAATACTTTTGCTAGTTTTTGGTAACACTTATATGATACTTTTGCTAATTTTTGGTAACACTTATATTAAAAGTATTACAATAATATGATATATAAACTAATAATTGCAAAGTATTACAATAAAAGCTGCTACTTAAAGTCATTTATGTTGTAATTACAATGTTAAGCAGAAAGCTTAAAGTTGAGGCAAGAAAATCTCTCTCTGCAAAACAAATTATTATGCTCCGTATAGTGGTGACGGGTTTGTGCACCTTGTCCGCAACAATACAAGGATTTTCATACATTTTCAAGTCATAGAATTCCACATAAATATGATACACATGATTTTATTTAAGTTTTAATGTGGACATGGAAATTCGTTCGGTATATTGAGTGATGTTTTTGAAACTTTTCAAGAGTTTCATATTTATGAGAAATCCTATGAAATCTTAAATTTGAGGGTGAGAGTCGTAGTATGATTTCGTATATGGTTTTTTCTTTCGAAATCTCAATAAATTTTAAAAAGGCTTAACAAATCATAGTCTAGAATAAGTTAAATAACTCAAGATTTTGTAACATTTTTTATCTCAAATTAATAACTCGACTTTTAAAAAATTTATAAAGTCTAAATTAAATATACCAAGATTTTTTAAGTTTTAAAATCTCTAGAAATCTAAAACAAATTTAAAGCATAAATTATTGATACATAGATTTTGAAGCATAGATCATTAAGAATAAGTGATCATTTTGACACCATAATTTCAGCCCAAATTTTAATGTCTATGACAATTGGAGCGTTATATTTTAAGAATAATTTTGCTTTATTTTTTTATCCACATTTTTTTTATTTTTCTTCATTTTGCAATTGTGACAAAAAAAATTATGATAATTGTTTTTTATTTTTCCGCTATTTTCAATTATAATTTACAATAATAAGTAATTATATTTTTATTTATTTTTTTGCATAATAGCTATACTACTAACTAATCATAAAGTCACATCAATTTATTTTACGATTTCGTTTTTAAACTATTTATTTAGGATATTATTTATTTTCTTAGCTCATTAAACAAGTTTCTTTTTATTATAATTAGTTAAGTATTTTTTATGGCAATCGACAAGATTCCGTACACAATTTTTATAATAAGAATTTTAATACTTTTATCTTGTTAATTTGCCATAACTAGTGAAGCTTGCCAAAATTATGTTATTGCGATCAATATAAAGATTAAAGTTAAATAGTCTATATTTATATCGTTCATTTTTACTAATTTACTAATGACAAACTATAAAATGTTAAATGCTCATTGTCTAATTATGATTTTAAATATTACATACATACACGTATAACATATAAAATTTTATTTACATCTGTACATGTGTATCGAATACTAGTAATATTTTTATTTTTATTTTTAGCAATTGATTTGCCCGTTTTTAAGCCGTGTTAAAAAATTATTCTTGATAAAGACTGGTGACTTTTATTTGGATAAAAAATTCTGTAGAGCCATCTACCACTTAATGTATTTACACTTGTCCAAAGTTTATTAATTGCAGGACACGTGTCAATACACTATTGGCTCAATAAGTATGGATAGCAAAACTGTGATTTGGATAGTTAAAACTAATTGCAGGAGAAGTTCTTGTGATTATCCGGTTCTTTGGGGTCTCAGAATTTTGCTACTAGGAAAAAAAAAATAAAAAAAATTGACCCCTATTTTTAAAATTTCTTCTCTTTGCTTGAGGTGCTATTAAAGTAGACAGCACATAATCAACTCACAATGGTCAAACTCTTATAACTCCCCAAAAGCACACGCTCCATATTTCTCTCTACCTTGTTTAGAAGATTTACAATATTCAAAATCCATTAATCATTTTTCTAAAAAT